CGCTGCTGATGGGTCTGAGTGGTGTTCCTTCCTTGTGAGTCTTTGGAAGACCATATATATACATGGGGTGGCTTCTCCTGGGTAGAGTCAAAAGCTCGGTTGATTACTTTGTCCTTTAGCAGTTTCTGTAAATGGTCCATGATTTTCTTTTTGCTTGCGCATGTCGGGTCCCTCTTTAGGGCTTCATACGTGGTCCTGTCTCTCTAAAGTGTGATGACTTTGTTGTGGTAATCTGTTGTATTCAGAATAACTGTACAACATCCCTTGTCTGCAGGTAAAATAGTGATTTTCTGGTCTTTGGTGAGGGAGGAAATGGCTTTTCTTTCTTGTGGGGACAGGTTAGAAGGTGGAGTCTTCACATTTGAAAGAGCTGCTGTAACTTTGATCCTCAGTTCTTCAGCTTGTTTCCCTTAGGTTTTTTGTTTGTTTGTTTGTTTATATCCTCATTTGTTCCAGGATGTGAGAAGACATCAAAAAGTAGTAGCATGGTTTGGTTGGCTTCAGGAATGTTCCTCACCATTGTCGGCGATGGCCACACACAGAATGGTACGCATTTAGGTTAAACCCCCCCCCCCCCTGCCAAGTGAGAGTCCAACTGGCGATCGAAACGCTCTCTTAAAATCACCAACTCATACCGGCCCCTTAATGACCTTCTCCAACCCGTCCTGGACCCCTCACTGGAAATGATGCTAAACTGACTCTAAAGTTTCCTTTGTATCCATGTACTCATAAAAATATACAAAAAAGTGAAAAATAGAAATATTTACTGGTATTATGTTGCTCAGACCTATTTTACCTATTTTATCTGCCTTGTTGGGAAGTGTCCTTGGGTGTCTTCAAAAGTGATTTTAAATAAAATGTATTATTATTATTATTGTTTATTTATTTATTTTAATTTTTTTATTATTATACCTTTGTCCAACTCAGTGGAGCCACTTTGGAAATGTATCTTTGACTATCCGTCTAATCTTTCTGACAAAGATGTGGGATTATTGTTCCCCCAGGATAATCCAGGTTGTTAAACAGACAGACATGTGTGATGCACGTTTAGGCTTTGCTGCTTCGGTTTATTGACAAAGCCATTATAACAGATGCAGGCCAGATGAGGCCATGTGTGTCTCTGGAGAGGAAGAGGATGTGAGCATGGAAGTAAAGATGACTCATCTCCGAGTCCTGTGCCAATAGTTAATCAATATCTTCGTTTGGCCATCCTCACTGACTCAGCTGCTACTCTGGCATGTCTCTAGTAAGCATGCAGAAAAAGCTGCTGGATCAGATCTGCTCTATTGTTGGTGAGAAAATGAAACACAATGAATTGTTTTAGCTCAGTTTTATTGTCTTCCTGCCCTCTCTGTGACCGGGAGACAAACTCAAACACAAAATGACCCCCTCCCATCTGGAGCCCATAACAGGAAGCACCGGCTGGCAAATGGACATGACTGTTTCCGTAGCAACAAAGAGGTATTAAATCCCCACTCATAGATTCCCTGTGGTTTTTATTGTAGCTTCTTAATTGGAGAAGACAGGGAGAAGGAGACTGATGGAAAAATGAGCGATGTGATGAACTGGGACTCATTGTACCTCTACCCCAGGAAAAAAGAAAGCAGATGGTACTTCTACATTTGTATTTAGCTACTGCTAATTTGTGGTTATTGACTGATGGGTTTTACAAATCCCTAAGGTTCCTGGTGATTTACAACACTCTTTGTGCTTCATTTATTCATAGACTTTATTAGTTTAGATTTATTATAAACAAAAATGAATTTCATTGGTTCAAAAAGAAAGTTTAAAGCTTTTCCTTCTAATTTTATTTCTGTGTAGTTATTTGAATTTAAAACTTAAAGTAATTAATTAATTTTTCCAAAATTTAAGCACTAAACTATTTAAAATTCTCACCTGATATGTCTCAACAGTTGATTTAGAAGCTAATCTTTTGCAATCATACATTTGTGTTTATTAACAAAAAGCAACAAAACTCTTAAACCTCTCATGTAAAACCATTTAATATTCATTAGTAAATAGCTTTTATGCTGCATAATCATGCTCCAGACTTTGATCTTTATTACACCATTGTGCAGCCTTTAGGTTAAAGTTCATCCATGGGTCATTTCTAGCATTTAGCCTAATCATCCAAATGCAAATCCAATTTATTCATGAAGCACTGATATAAATCAAGGTATACCAAAGTGGTGTACATTAAAATACTCATACAAAATGCACAATACATAATACAAACACGTATTATTTACAGTAAAATCGCCTATTTTATTTCAACTGGAGGGGGTCTAGATGTGTCTTAAGACAAGATTTAAACACTGTAAGTGAATCAGCTTGTTTTACACTAAGGAACAGATCCTTCCACAGTCTGGGAACATTGACAGTCAGAGCTCTGTCTCCTCGAAGTTTGAGTTTGGTCTGTGGGACCTTCGGCAGACCAATAAACATCTCAGTCCAAATAAATGTTTATCATGCCAGAGAGGGAATATGTTGTGGGAATAAAGACAATGGAACGTAATACATGCCAGCCTTTATCGAGCATTATGTTTTCAGGTGCTCATATTCCATTATTTTCTGCACATAAATTGCAAACACATAAAACCTTCTTAGAATTCCACCATGACAAGTGAGAAGCTCAGTCGTGAGGCAACTGTCTCCACATGCTATTGGACAACGAACAACGTGACGTACTCACCGCTACGGATGTCAGCCAACGGAACGGTCTGCCATAAACCATTGAAGAAGACACAAATACATCTTTTTTCTAAAAATAGGGTATCTGCAGGTTTAAGGGAGCCAAATTTAAGACTTTTTAAAACCTTTTTTAAGGCCACTTTGACTACATTTAAGCTATTTTTTTCAATTAAATTTAAGCCATCATTTCCAGCCATTGCCTGGAAACAGTGCTAACCACGTTGCGAACGTGGGATTAACCATCCAGTTACCATTAAACTTGCACTTCCCCATGGCGCAAGCTCCCACTAGCTTAACCAGCTAATGTGCTCATCTAAAAATAGCCCCTTTTCACAACCAACTGAATGTGTACGGTTCCGCTTACGCCAACATCGTACACAAAAAATGCTGAACACTAACTAGAAATCCACAAAAATTTTATAGAAATAAAAGAGTCTTGTTTATTGGGTCTTTGGTAATTTAAGACATTTGGAAACTGTATTGAAGGATTATTTGTCATTTTTAAGGATTTTTAAGGCCTTAAATCTGGAAAAGCAAATTTAAGACTTTTTAAGACTTTTAAAGGACCCGCGATACCCTGTAAAAAAAGGACTTAAGTACTTCTATCTGTCTTTACTCAAAGAAAAACCCAAGTCTAAATAGTGCAAAGTTGATGTCGAAGCCGTTTCAAACAAACATCACTATCCTTTATGTTTCGCTCCGTTGTAGCGTTGGTGCTAGTCTCGCCCACCAAACCAATAGAGTGGTGGGATTTGTGGGACTCAAAACTGCTCAGACCTATGTTAGACCTGCTGAGGCTACAATGGAGCATGGCTAGACCAACCAGCAGAGCAGGCTACAAAATATCATGACAAAAGTGCAAACGGTTCAGTCATGTTAAAATTTTATAAAAAACATGGTCAAAGGCATTATTAATACTGATTGTATGCTTTTAAATTGCTTTACAATTACCACTATTCACAAAAATTTAAGCACAAAGCAACAATTTCACAAATCAAGGTTTAATAAAAGTCTTATTTGATTATTTATTTTATTATTATTTATTTTATTTTATTATTTCAGCTAAGCAGATGCACATTGGCTCTGCAACCACAAGAGGGCAGTATCCTGTAAAAGAGAGGGTTTCTAAAGGCTCAGTTCAGTTTTCATTCAATTCAATTCAGCTCAATTCAAAAAATACTTTATTAATCCCAGAGGGAAATTGATTGCTGTGGTAGCTCAGAATAATAATAATATTAATCAAGTCATCAAAGAGTTATTGTATATTACAACGGCTGTTGGCAGGAAGGATCTCCAGTAGCGGTCAGTGCTGCAGCGAAACTGAAGAAGCCTCTGACTGAAGACACTCTTCCGTTGTCGGACAGTCTTGTGAAGAGAATGCTCAGGGTTGTCCATCATTTTCTTGATTCTCTGGAGAATTCTTCTTTGCATTATCTCCTCCAGTGGTTCCGAAACTGCCGAAACTCTGGCTGAGTCCTTGAAAGGGCTTGGAGTTCCTCCATCTTGTTGGCCAGTGATCTCACATTGCCCATTATGATCGATGGAAGAGATGGTTTGAATTTCCTCTTTCTCTGTCTCCGTTTTGCTCCCGCTCTGCATCCACGCTTCAGGAAGAATTGTGCTTCCATTTCCTGCAGAAAAGGCTGTCTTATGTCTTGCAAAACATCATGTTCACACCTTGTCACCACACAAAGGATGGAGCAACCCTCACAAGAAGTCCAGGCTGCAGAACTGCTGAGCAAGCTTGATAGAATCTGTGCTGAAAAATCTACAAAAGTTAGGTTTTTCCCTCACAAAGGGAGTTTTTTTTTAAATATTATGTTCAGACAAGTTTCAGAGGTGAAACGGAAGAAACTGCTCTGAAAATATAGTAATATGTCAATAGTTGGGAAAAATCACTTAAACGCTGAGATTCACTTTCAAGAATATAAGAAATTAAAGATTTAGTCAGGATTCTAAAAAAAAAATTAAATCATAGACCTTAAAAAAGGCAGTTTATTGCAAAAAGTCAAATAAGAGTCATTGTTAGGGTGATCAATATCTTCACGGATAGCTGCAGTCCAGAGGTGACAAACATCCTTTCTGTAGTTTTTCCCACCACTGCAATAAACCAAATACCACCTCAATATTTCACCTCCTATGCCAGCTGCTTTGATCTCAAAATAAAGTTTCCATTGTGAGTTGTGAGAGATAAGACACTGGCAGCAAACTAACTTAGCCGAAGTCCTCGCCCCCACATCAAAACAGCTGCAGGTGACGTGCTGCATTTAGCAATCACGTTAGACGGTGTGGCTGAAAAGGAAGCATTCAGTCGTCAGAAGTGCTGTGAGCTCTGTCAACATGTCTGCTGTCTGGATGAAGATCGCCACCATCCTTTGCCTCTGCTGCTCAGAGCTGACTGATGCAAGTAAGGCCGAGACAGCTGGTTCTGGTAAATGAACCATAAAGTAGCTTGGCTTTAACCTGTTGTGATTTTGTGCGTCTTGTGTCAGGAGTGATGTGGAAAGAAGCCGGAGAGTCCATCACCATCTCGTGCACCTCTGATTCCCAACTGCAGATGATGTATTTGATGAAGGGTCTCAATCGGGACGAACAGATTTTTTTTACAGAGAGAACAAAACAAAAACACAATATCAAAGACACGATGAAGGTCAGAGTTCAGGCACATATTGTCTTCCCAAAAGTAGAGGTTCTCATCAAAAACCTGACTCGGAATGACACAGGACCGTACTGGTGTTTGTACAAAACCATGAGCTCAAGTGAATACACAGACTCTCTGCTGCTGGTGGTGACGGGTGAGTGTTCCATCTTCTGGCTGTTATCATTAATATGAAACATTTTCTCTGAGTTGCACGAAATGTAAAAGTACTCCTTAACTCAATCTAAATTATACTTTCAAACACAAACAGCCAAGCTCACACATGTTTGAAGATTGCTTTAAAAGGCAATGTTTTCTTCAGCTTCAAATGCTATTTGCTTTTGCAATTTTTCTGCAGAAATTTTGATAATTGCATTAAAAACGGAATGATGAGCTTTTATTTGAACCTGATTGTACTGTTGCAACATATTTTGAATTCTAGAAAAACAACAAGAAAGGACAGCAGCAGTCTGTGAGTCCTCCAGCGTGAATGTGGTTGTCTTGGCTGTCGTAGCCTTTTCTGCCTTCCTGCTCGCCATCATGCTGTTCCTAGTTTTATGGATCACGAAAAAGGTATTGCTACTTTTTAAACTAATTCCGGTTTAAGTTTGTGTGAACCTTCGGTGGTGTAACTCTATCTTCTCTCACCTTTTATTGGCCCAATGAAATAATGTTTACTGCTCAAATTAGAAGATTAATCTGAAGTCTAGGATTTGTTCTTAAATTCATAAATTTCCATTAGAAATTATTTGCATCCCTGAGGTGAATGCAGATGGATAGGGAAATTTTTAAATATAATCAAAGGTATTTCAAATGTGAAGCCATTTTTATTTGGTGAAAAAATCCATGGTGGTTTGCTTTTGGGTACTGAAGTTGGTTCAGTAACAACGATAACAAAAAGAAGAATTTGGCGAGTCAAGGCTGCTTTATTTATTTATTTATTTATTTATTCATTTAGCACATTTCATACACAGAAGCGATTCAATGTGCCTTTCAGATGCAACAGTCGTCCAATTTTAAAACCAACGTGACGGTATTAAGCATCAGATTTGAAAATCGAATTTAAAATATGCAAATTCAATTAGATGTGAGAAATAAAATGAAAAGGCAAAGTTAAAGGGTGAGCAGTTACAGTGCAGAAGGTGCAGCATAGGAAACATTATTTCAAAGGCTGATGAACACATGAATGTTTTTATTTAAAGTTACTAGAGTTGGGGGCACATTTAGGTCACGGGGAAGCTGGCTCCACCTGTGTGCAGCATAGTAGCTAAAAGCAGCTTCACTCTGTTTGGTTCTGACTACTTCCTAAGGATCTCAGAGTTGAGCTGTTTTTGTTTAACTGGAGAAAGTTTGACTGTATCCAGTCATTAACGTGCTCCAAACACTGTGTGAGTCTAGGGGACCACAGGTGTTAGAGCTGGGTAGATCTGGGTGTCGTCTGCATAACTGAGATAGGTAATGTTGTTATTGTGTATGACCTGACTCAAGGGGAGAATGTAGAGATTGAAGAGCAGTTGGTCCAAGAGTAGAATCTTGAGGGACCCCACAGGTCATGGTGATCTGATTTGATTTGTGATCATCAATAGAAATAACACAACCCCTGGCTCCACAATATGATCTGAACCAACGATGGACTATGCCCGATAGTCCCACTCACTTTGTGAGCCTATCAAGAGGGATGTTGTGGTCCACAGTACAAAAGCTTCAGTGAGATTGAACATAATCAGAACAGATGTTTTGCCTGAATCTGTGTAGACACAAATATAATTTAATCCAGGAGGTTGTTTGTTTGATACCCAATCCAAATTACACATTACACATTTTATCTAAAGCAACTTACAAATGAGAACAACAGTTACCCTTGAGGCGATTAATTAAAAGGGAAAAACACTAGTCAGAGGTAATGTGGTAACACCTTAGAAATAGACCATCAGTATGGGGAATTACATATAGAGAGTGCAGTATAGTAGGGGAAGGGAGGTGCAGGAAAGGAGCCAGTCTAGAACAGTGGTCTGGCGTCTGGAACTCCACCATGGAGGTTGCTAGGAATTGCAGTTAGTCTCCATAATTTTGTCTGTTCTTAGGTTACCAAAATTAAACTTGTAAACAATTGCATTTATAAAATCCCAACAACACACTCAATAGTATATTCAAAACTCAGTATAAGAGGTATAACTGTATAAAGTTTGTTATTAATCACTTTTAATGTGTGTCTAAAGGAGATAGGGTTGGGGTCTTGGCTTCTCTTGGACACAGGTGAGGGGATCCTCAAGGAATATGAAAGTTAAGAACCACTGATCTACTGCTCTCTAGAGAGCTGGGTCTTCAAGAGTTTCAAATACAGGTTGAGCTTGGTAAGTCATTCCTCCATCATGGAACAACACAGAAAAGACTCTAGATTGTCTTGAGCGGGGTGAAGACACTGCTAACCCACAATCCTTTTATGACTGGAGGGACCAGGTTGTGACCCAAGCCATTGCAGTAGGATGTAGATAGGAGCCATTCCATTCAGAATTTTGTAGGCTAACATCAGTGACTTGAATGTCTGATGGGTGGCTAAGGTTAGGCAATAAAGATCAACAAAAGAGGGATGTTCTGGACAACTTTCAGAGCTTTCATAGATGAGTGACCAATTAAAAGGACATTGCAGTAGTCAAGGCAGGAGATGACAATAGACTGCACATGGAGCTGGGTGGCATATTGTGTTTGGAAGGACCCGATCCTTTGTACCTTAATGCAAAGCAGCACAAACAAATGATGGAAACAACATAATCATTGAAGGTCAACTGATCATCACACTTAGCAATCACATTTTGAGTTACCTTGATGGAGCTATAGATGTGGATGCAATTTGGATGCAGACATTATGCTGCATGGTCGGTTTGGCTGGAAAGACAAGCATTTCAGTTTTAGAGAGGTTGATTTGGAGGTGGTGGGCTTCATCCATATGCCAGAGAGACAGTCCTAGATTTGTGTTATGACTGTGTGGTCATCAGGTGGAAATGACAAGTAGAACTAGGTGTCGTCTGCATAGTCATGTGATCAGATGAGCTGACCCACTGAGATTATGGAAATGGAAAATAAAAGTGTTCCCAGTACTGCACCTTGGGGTACCCCTGCGGTGAAGGGCTGTGCTACAGAATTGTGTCCTAGCCAGTGAATATTAAATGGACGTGTGAGGTGGGATTCAGACATGGAGTGTCATCTACCTAGGATGCCCATGCTAAAGAGTGTGGACCAAAGAAGCCATTTTTGATGGGGTCAAATGCAGCAGCGGCCCATTCATGGGGGCGCTGGGGCGCCACCCCACATGTGTGATGGCTACAGTTACCATAGGAGTTGTGGATTGGAGTAGCTCAGTAGGAAAAGGCTCCAGCAGACATGTAGGACAGCCGCATGGGAGATGTTAAGCCGTGCTGTTTGTGGTCAAAGGGATGAGAGCTTTCACCACTGATCTTCTCCGACAAAGGGTCACAGCTTCATTTCCATTTCACAGTTCACAATAAAAATGGACAACAAGTTGGAAATGGTGCTCTTAGTTTTTCTTATCAAATCAACAATCTTAGCCAATTTTCTGCAGCACAAAAATGTTCTTTACGAGCAAACCAAGTCAATGTAAATTCATAAAAACTCACAAAAGCGGAAATGAAGACTTCTGCAAACCTTGAAATCTTAGCTGGTGACAGAAATCAGAACATGTTAGACGTTTCTAGAAAGCTAAACGAAGCAATAAAGCCAGCATCTACCTGGGCTGGAGAACAGCTGGAAATAAAACCGACAGAAAAGGTGTTTTCAGGTTGAATCGACACTTCAGCATATTTTAAAACTACAAACGAAATCATGCATTAAAGTTTACTTACTAATCAATTCTTAATTATGTCTTACATGTTTGCAATTTATCCCCATTTTATTTGCTGCTTTTCTTGAGACATTTTGGAAATGATCATTCACTAACTTTCAGATCATCATATTTGATCTAATTGCCATATTTAGACATATTCTGTATTTTAATGCTAAGTGTAATAGACTAATGTAAATGCACTTGGTTTGTTTATATTCAAATCCATCTGACACATTTACAATCTTTTGTTGCAGAACACCAGGGCCTCATTTCGCCCAGAGAAAACAAGCAGCCGTCCGAAAAACAACGATGTTTACGAAGACATGAGAGGAACAATCAGACGCTGAGGAACAGCGGCTGCAGGCTGTAAAAAAATGAAAACAACACAACTCTGCACCGCGTGGTCGAGAACATCAGAGGCAGCGCTGCAACTCAGCAGTCCCATGACTTATTCACGGTTTCAGTTTTTTTTGTAAATGAGGTTCGTGCAACAACTAAGGAGAGTTTCTGTTTTTTGTTTCACATTATGAGGATTACATATGTACATGACCTATTTTTTCTAACTATTCAGTGTTAAATTTTATTTTATATTCTCTTCACTTTCTTATGCCTTTCTGACCAAGCATGTTCCTGTTTCACGGTGGTTGTCCCTTGTTTCGATGTTACACACCATCCCGACCACAAACTTCAGTGGAAATAACAAAACTCAAATCTTGTGGTCCTTCTGTGACCAAAAGATCACTTGTTTGTCAGCCTTCTATTCCATTAAACTCATCCAGATACAGAATATTTACATATTTCATCAACCTAGAGTTTGATCTTCGGCACTGAGGTTAAATCCATTTGCACTTGTAAAGTTAATGTTAACAATAACTGTAAATATGGTGAGTAGGGAGGGTAAAACCAACAGAAAGAGATAATGTGGTCAATAAGTTCTCTAGCATAACTAAAGGGATGAGCCAGGATAACCCAGACTAACCTTAAAGAGCAAGTCACCCCCTACCAGATTCTTACTCAACTCCCACTTCCTGTTTGAAAAATGCAACAAATGCTGTTGCCTAGCAGGCCGAGAGGGTGGAGCCACTAACAAATACAGACACACACAGGCTCACACCGACATTGTGACATCATATGGTACCAGCTAATGTTCTAGGGTACCTCTTAGCCAAAAGCGATGGCAGATTTAAATTCAACTGCAGTGCAGAGTTTTTACCTGACAACGGCACAACACTGACAGTTTTAGGCAAAAAATTAAAATTTTAACTAAAATCCACTAAAGTGCAAAACTATTGGCTACACTTGTCTGCAGCATGATTAGACACACATTTACATAGTTTATCAGGAAAAAAAAGTTGATTTGGGGGTGACTTGCTCTTTAACTATAGGATTCATCCAGAAAGACAGGGTGTCTGCCTTATGAGGATGTTAAACAAAGCTCACTGTAAATATCCATAATGCACATTTAAATGTCATAGGTTTACTTTATATTGTTAAAGTTTTACTGTATTGTTACTTTTCCGCAAATAAAACAATTGTTTTTAATTTTGGAATTGTCTCAATTATACTTTTTTGACTACGTTTTTATTTCTTCCCAGAAAGCCACGCTGCTCGGATCAGAGCCAAAGTTCTCCGTGGTTCCCGAGCCTCAGGACAAAATCAGAACAAAGTGATTTTTTTATGATTGGTTTCTGTCGTGAGCTGGGAAATACAGATCCAGGAGTAGAAAAATAAAAATAAATTTTTTTGTTGTCCCTCAATGGGGAAATGTTGGTGTCCCTGCAGCAAGGACACACACCACAGGAGCAAAAAGAGGAGTACAAAATTAAGAATAAAAAGTGAGTCAGAGTTAGGAGTAGACGACTAGAAAATATAACACAGAATTACTTGAAATATTTAAAAATCTAAATTTGGAGTATATACTCCATCCATCCATTTTCATCCGCTTATCCGGAGTCGGGTCACGGGGGCAGTAGCCTAAGTCGAGAGACCCTGACTTCCTTCTTCCCAGCCACTTGGGCCAGCTCCTCCAGGGGAATCCCAAGGCGTTCCCTGGCCAGGTGAGAGACATTGTCCCTCCACCATGTCCTGGGTCTACTTTTAGGTCTCCTCCCAATTGGACGTGCCCGTAAACCTCACCAGGGAGGCGTCCAGGAGACATCCTGATCAGATGCCCGAGCCACCTCAACTGGCTCCTCTCGAGTCATCTGGCCATGTGGAACATATACTCATTTTAAGAATTTCTGACAGCTTTCAGCAGAAATGCGGGTATATTTCTGGTATCATTTTAGCCTGGACTTGTTTAAGGGGTTAGATTGGGGGTTAAACCACCAAATAGTTCCCGAGTGCAGCCACCGCCCCCCTCCATGGGGATGGGTCAAATGAATTTCACCAGTGTGTGAGGATGACTATGGGACTTTAACTTTAACTTTGGTCCCAGACCAGCTCAGGTTAGCCATTAGCTTGTAAGTTTGATCAAAGCTGATGCGTTTTTTTTAAACTGAGATCATTCGTAGGGCTACCAACAACCAGTAGGATTTGCATACATGTTCCATAGAAACCTGCTTCACAGATCGGACTTACTCTTTTATCAGGAATCAAAGTTGATACTGTTTTTGCATAAAAACTGCTTCTTGTTGGCATTTGACATCTACATAGATGAGATAACTGATATACAACCCTTCAGTTTTAACACGGTGCATGTTTTATTTCCAATGTCAGATATTACAACATTTCCACACAGTAAGTTCAAATCCGTGTGAAACTCCAGAAAAAGAAAGCACCACTCAACCCTTCGACCTAGTCAAGTCAAGCCAGCGCATGTGCCGCCTTACACAAACACGGTGATCCTTAAACGCTGTAAATCAGGCAACAACTCAAACACTGTGAGTCCAGACAAGTTCAGCTAAACTGAGAGTCGAAAGACACCAAGTGAGTCAACACCGAGAGTTCAGGGGGCGAAGAAAGCATGCAGCGTGTTGGTGAAGTGGATGTTTACTTGTGCAGCATGCTTGTGGTCACAAGCTGCGACTTTGTCCTTCCTTCAGAAAAAAACAGAGCGAGCGGTTTAGAGCGTGAAATGTGTCACTTAGGTGTTTGTGTGTGAAAAGTCTTGCTACCACAGTGCAAACATCCTGGTGTTGTTTTGTGTCTGCACGTCTTCAGTGAGATGACTTTTGAAAAGACCATGGAAATCGTGCTCTAAGGTAAGCGGTGGCGTGAATCGGAAACTGAGACCCCCCTCTTACAAGAAATCTGACATCAGCATGCTAACGTACAAGAAGAACCATGCTGTCCATTCCCCTTTGTTTCCTGTTTTCTTTATTAAAGACATTTTTCTTTTTCTATAAAGAAGCTGAAAACATCTCAGTCTGCACCCACAGCACTTCCTCTATGTGTGTGTGTGTGTGTGTGTGTGTGTGTTTTCCACAGGAAACCTTAATAAGTGTGTCAGGCGTTCGAGATAGAGAGGATAAAACAGAGACTAACACAGCTAACCAGCTGTGACAAACATTCAGCAGGTGTTTTTAGCAGAGTAGACAGTTGTTTGGATGGTTTCACGGTAACTCTGATCGGGGTTTTTCCAAACTAGTTATGATTCAAATTCAAGCACATTTACACCCTAAAACATTCAGTTTTTCTGACTAAAGCTCCTCCTGGTTGTATTAACGACAATAACAGGATGTGGCTTTGTGCTTTTATTTTATCAAAGGTCAGAGGCCTGATCGTTAAGTAATGTTTAAACTTTGTTGAGGAACAAAGTTTTGTTCTTGAAAAGCAAAGCTTCTCCAGAACATTCTTCAGACTGTTTGGATCTGCTGTGGAGACCTGACTCTGTGCAGCTCTGACTTGTGTTGGATTTTTTATTTTTTTTTTTTGTATGACAGCAGGATTTAATGAGTGGTGATTTAAGGAAGCTAAAGAAAAGCAGCGAGTGGATTAAACCCATGGGAGCAGATCTGGAAACATCAAGCTGACAGACTGAGGACCTCTGGTGGGTAGCTGGGGGTGGATCCATGGAAAACCAGTCGTCTCACTCTGCAGTACTTCACTTCCTCTTGAAGCCACCGGGGTGCATCTGCTGCACACATCCTTCATCTTATTCAGCAGTTATGATAAATTAATCTAATCCAGACTTGAAGACAGGTGCAGGAAAGCAACTAAAGATGCAAAACATTCACTGATGCACTTTTTCATCTTTAAAAGAGGTTCTAAAGTATCTTTCATGAGTTTTTCCCTTGCCAGGTGCTAGCTAAAGTTTAAAACTGTTCCTCCATCTCTAAAGTTGCATCACTTCATCAGAATGTACACACACTCTGGATTTCGTGACATAAGTCAACCACAGAGTCTGTAGAAATAAAGTCAGGGTTAATGGAGTCCGTTGGTTAACACAGCAAACTGATTCAGCTGCAGTTTTTCTGGGTCATGCAGCCTGAGCATCGACAGATGAGACAGCTATTACTGGAGCAGCTGTGAAACGTCACAAATTGTGTTTTCAATAAAGCTTAAATGCAAAAGCATGTTCAGCATATGCTAACTCTTGTTTTGTTGTAAAAAACGGAGGAAGTTCTTGAGAAAATTTGTGAAATTGACACTTTTTGTGGAGGAGCTGATACAGCATCTGCATTGATCGATATGTAAGGACTAATAGAGGTGTCTCCTATCTGGTAAAGGAATATGTATCGACCTCTGCATTAAGATAATATCTTGTTGATGGAGTTATAAATGTGGTCAGATCCTGATAATATAGTCCCAATTTTTAAAAAAAGCACATTTTACATGGCTACATTTAAACAAGGGTCCAAGTAGGGCTTCAGCATGCAGCAAAAAGAAATGGAGAGAGGTGAAATGTTTTCTGAGCTGTATTTTATTGAAAACTCTTAAACTGAAACAAGAGTTGTTTTTTTACAGATGACCAAAAGTTTAAAACCGCGCCTCCAACAAAAACCCAAAAAGTCCTCGAAACAAAACAGAAATGAAAACAGTAATTCAGTAAGTAGCTCCATCTCCTGTATAGAAGTGTTTGTAATTCTACAGCATTGTGCAAAAGAAAAATATGCTACAGTCACTTGTTTACTGCAGAATACATGTAAACATAAAATCAACCTTTTGGTAGAGCTGTGCACAAATGTGAACAATATACAGTACATGTAACAGTACATACAGTATTGCACAGTACTGTAACATACAGGTACAGTAAATCATTCTGGCATATCCAGACGTTCCTGTCTGTCTGGCCACATATTTTCATCTACATCACAGCGGATGTCATCCCTCGCAATACTAGCAGGGCCATTTGCTCATGTGGATGCTGGTCATAAACTTTCCACCTCCAGGCAGAGAAAAACTTCTCTATTGGATTAAGGAATGGGGAATATGGAGGGAGATGTTCAACCAGCATTCTTTCATGTGCTGCAAACCACTCTCTGACCAGATGGGAGTGGTGAAAACGGACATTATCCCAGACAACAACATACTTGCTGAGTTTGCCTCCACCCCTCTTATTCTCAGGGACTAGGTCCCTGTAAAGAGTGTCTAGAAATGTCAGGAGATGTTGAGTATTGTATGGACCAAGAAGGGGGATATGGGTGAGGATGCCGTTGTCTGAGATGGCTGCACACATGGTAATATTCCCTCCATGCTGACCAGGGACTTCAGTGGTTGCTCTCTGTCCAATATGATTTCTTCCACACCTTCTGCCTTTGGCCGATTGAAACCTGCCTCATCAACATATATGAATGTGTGCAGTGGTTCCCTAGCTTCCAGCTCCTGTACATGCTTGAGAGAGAGACAGAAATGCAATTTCACAATTGTCCTGTGTACAGTAACAAACAGTAATGCATGCATTTGGTAAAACACATTGTAGAGTATGTTTTGTAGAATTGCTAGTTGTTACGGCTGTTGCAGTTTGCCTCAGAAATCTGACACTGCAGAGGACAATCAGTGCTGCCTCCACCTCCTACCTGCACAGCTGCACTCACTTGGGCTGATCACCTCCTGAGCAGCATAAAAGGGAGAGCTGCCAGGAGGAAGGGAGAGACTGGATCTGTGCCAGTTCTCTCATGTGCTCCATTTGTTTGTGTTTTAATGGCTTTTAAATGGGTTTTAGTTCTTTAAGCTTAGTGAAGCTTAAGAGCTTTTAGAGGTTTTTAACAGATGAGGGACCAGAGTGCTGGTTACCTCTTGGCTCCCAAACTTGTGTTTAAGTCAGTGGACTTTGTTTTGTGAATGTTTGGGAGCATTCAATGTCTGTTTTAAACGTGAACCCTTGGCCATTTTAACAATGTGTTTAAGTACTTTTAGATTTGGAGCTTTTTGTCATTTTAAAATCCTTTTAATAAATCTGTGTTTACAATTTCCACAACTGGAGCACATGCCTCTGTGTTACTCCCCGTCCTTCTCCATATCCACCAATAGAGGATGTAACACTAGTGTACTGCATGAAACTACAAAGTACTGTAAAGCAGTTTACAGTGCTGAACATAGAAGACCTGCTTTACCTGCACATACTGGTGATGGATCTCCTTCACCCTTTCACAGTTTCGTTCGAATGGCACTTTATACAACTGCCTCATGCGGATTTCATTTTTTTGAGAACTCTGTCGATTGTTGAAATTGAAACTGATTCAATATTGCTAAATGCCGTGTTATTCTCTATGACAGCGCGTTGTATTTCTCTCAACTTTATTGCATTGTTTGCAATGACCATTGCACAAATGGCTTCCTCTTGCTGTGGGGTAAAAAGGGGCCCTCTTCCACCTCCGCGAGGTTGTCTTTCAATCCAATGTGGTGCAGAGTAAAATTACAGTAAAATTACAAATCCAGTACAGTAACATGAGATGTATATGAGATGGTACAGTACAGTACGGTAAATTACTGTATGCATACCTGTTTTCCCTACAGAATGTTTGATTGATTGAACTGACAGTAGTTTTTCCAATTTTGGGTTGCACCCTTCGACCAGCCTCCTCCATGGTGAGGCCGTGATTGACAACATGGTCCACAATTGTAGCCCTAATTTCATTAGGAATATGCCTGTATCTGCCTCTTCTCCCTCTTCCCCTTCCCCTTCCTCCCCGCATCCTCACCCCTCTTCCATGATGCTGACCTTCCATTTTGTGTCACAGAAGTGTAGAAATGGTACACACTAGCTCCTGCTCAGTTCATATATGCTTGCCAATTGAGGATTCACCTCCTCATGAGTGACAGATGAAATTCACCTGTGATCAATTGTTCAATTCAGGAGACATTTCCAGGAAAAAAGATAAAGGTCTAGAATTTGCTTGACAGATGACTAATATTTGACATTTGATAACTAGTTCAACAATTTTGTGTGTAATGACTCAAACAATGAAAGTAAGACTGTTAGTTTTATTGAGAACGACTATTCAGCATCCTCAAGTATAATTCATTTTGACTGACATGACATAAGCAAATGGAAATGTCAAAAAAACAGCAGAGAAATGTATGAAAGCAACTGAAACATGTCCAAAATCATTTGCAGTTTGTTCAGAGAAAGGAGAAATTGCTACTATGATGTGCACAAATGACTAAATGTTGTGGAGGTTGAACTAATAGTTATGAGAATTTTAATTCTGATCTGAGAAACGCACCAAAGCGACTGAGAAAAACTGTAAAAGTGCAGCTGTGTTTCTGTAATCGCTCTCAGAGGGCAAAACAGGCAAGCAGCACAACTAAAACCTAGCATGGTGGACGCGCGGCACAGCCGGCCCCCTAGGGAGATGGGAGCTTGTGGCCACTTGCGTGAAGCAGCTGTTGAAGCCGGGCGCCTGACTGCCACTGTTAAAGGAAAAGGCATGTTACTAAACCTCCCTGCAGTGGCAAACTCGTGAATCTTTGACCGCAGTGGAGCAGCGAAGCCCCGAAGCTAGCTAGCCTCGGTCAGCTTAGAGTTTCGGTACCCAGTCAGTCAACCAGCCCCACCAACACATCATATTTCAACCCATCTTTGTGCAAGAAGCTTTTCCACCGTTCAACCAGTGAAATAAAGTACAGAAATATTATTTCACTTACTGATAAAACGAAGCAGAAACTGCTTGGATGATCTGTTAGTGCAGTCAATAACCACAGCAACTGGATTGAAAATGAAAGTAAACACGGGCCGTAAGTTTTGCTTTTTGAACAAAAATCAACTGAGATGGCAATCTGGAGCAATGCAGCACTCCAGGAGCTTCTCTCCTTTAGAGCTGGAGCTCAGATCACCAGTGACTGCACGGGGACGTGGAGGACAGACACCTTTAGGAGCAGCTTGTCAAATATCTAAATGAGCACGGCTTTGATCTCAATAAAACACAAGTTATGTCCAAGATAAATAGAAGTCTGCGGCAG